TTAAATTCGATTAAATATTAATATAAATTATGAAACAAAGTGAAGGGGTCTCACTATTCACCAATGGGCTCACTTTGTGAGTGTGCGTCCATGGATATGGCGTCACTTGGATAGGTAGACACACCCACACACACACACACACACACACACACACACACACACACTCTCTCTCACACACAGACAGACAGTGCAATAACCCAGATAAGATTAATATATCCCTGCATTTATTGAATGTGTATATTCTTATGGAGTCAAATAATTACCACTATGTTAAACAAATAACAGTTTCCATCCTGAATTTTCATTGGCTATTTAATATCCAATTTCAATGAGCAAGGTGGTGATAGTTGCGCTATGTTTGTTTATAATTTCTTAGATTCTTCATATTACAAGGAAGAACAGAGGGAGTTGAGACAGTTAATAGCACGGCCACTGTATTTACATCATTTGTTGCCAAAGAAAACAGTTCGGATACAATAGAAATTCTACTTACTGATGAAGGAGGAATACAAGTTATAATCAATGGTGAAGTGAGGGATATCTCAGTGGATGTTTCTACTTACATGTTTGACAATGTGTCTGTCAGGATGGTTAATGAGAGTATACTGTGTACATTTGCATCTGGAATTGCGCTGCAGGTTGGTATCAATAGTTTCCATTTACTAAAATCCTGTAATATTTAGAAAAACATGATTTGTTTTTTGAGGCTTTGTATGTATGTATTTTTGGTGTGTGTTACTGTACTTTCGTTTCAGACATGCCTGTCTGGACCAATCACATTCAAACTTCACACATGTATATTAGAATTTGGGATACATATGTGCAAGGTATATGTATGGGTATCTCTGGAGGCATTTTGCAAGTTTCCCAATGAGTCGCCAAAATTTTAATGAAAGCATTCTGCTGGTTGAGTCAAGCTATTTTGCGAGTCGGCGGTAACGGGTTCATTTTGGTACACAAGTACAGTCACTTTAGTCAGTTTATAAGACAAAGAAAACATTTTTTGATTAACTTTGTAAAGTCTGTGAGACTGTGAGTTATCAAAATCTGATTTTGACAACATTGTTTTCTGTGAAGGAATCTCAAAACCACAGTCCCTCTATTACGGTCTTGCTAATTAACATGCTGCGAAACTTGCAAAGTGGCCTGACTTGACTCGCGGAATGCTTTCATTTGACTTTTGGCGACTCCAAGTGCAAAGTGCCTCTAGAGATATTCGTATATAAATACATATGCACATGCATTCATTTAAAAATCTGATTCAAGGTACCTATTTTAAATCTGAAAGTGCATCAAAATCAAACATTTCTGCTATTTCGAAACCAGATCAATTCAAACTTTATACATATGTTGTAGATCATTTCAAATTCAAATTCAAAATGGCCGACTGGTTTCAGCTTTGTTTGCTACATCCAAGACAGTTTCATTTCAATGGATTTATAATGTTGTTAAATACATATATTATACATCTGTCACAATAACACCATAAGTTACAGCGTGCAGTAATTTTGCGGTATTTTATGGGGTATTTTCATCCTACCATATTAGGAGATGCGAATTTCAAATATGGAATGAATATGCACATAAGCATCCTCTAATAATAAAAACAAACATGGCTGCAACCAGGGTTTGACTGGACTTCATACAAAGAAGTTTAGTGATTCTGTTCTAAACTTTTTGGATTTCGTCATTCCCATGGTATATCTTTGGAAGGAAAAGATGTATAATAATAAGGTTATTATGAGGATACCTTAAAGTATGCATGAAGACAGTACGCTGTTTCATCGACCTCCGCTGCTGTACTGTGTTCATGCATACTTTGAGGCATCCTCGTAATAACCTCATAATATTCATGATATTTGAAAGTACAGTGACCCCCCTCGCTAAGTTGCGGGTGTCAGGATCCAAGCAAATCCAAGCAAATTATCGAGGGTCGCGACTTACTGGGGGACCTTGTGAAGGGGGTGTCGTGAAAACATATAAAAAGCACATATACACCTATGGGTTTATTTATAGTGTGGCTTCTTTATTAGAACGCATCACGATCATGATTAATAAATACACAAGTTAATTGAGAGGTTAGAAACATATTTACAAATTGTATGTTGTTTCATTACATGTGTCAGTCTGTATTTTGAATAAGAATCGATCATGATTAGTGAGGGATCACTGTATATGTGTATATGCATTACATTTTTAGCAGACAATGTGTTAACATGTTCAATAACTGAGGGTGATTTTTGAAGTACAATACTGGTAAACATTCCATTCACAGGCAAGGCTTAGATAGTTTCTCTATGTTTGTTTTCAGGTGAGTGCTAATATGAATATGTTAACATCTGTAGTTAGTTTACCAGAGGAATACAAAGGTACAACAGTTGGACTGTTAGGTCAATGGGACGACGACCAGACTAATGACCTCCTGCTTTCTAATGGTACACTGCTACAACCAAGTGAAGGGAATTGGACAGATGAAGAAATATTCATGTTTGGACAATCATGTAAGACAAATTATATATTATATCTGCTCTATTAGTAGAATATGTGCTTAATGTTTAAATAACAGACTCTATATGCTGAAATGATACATCACTGGTGCACATTTGCTGGCATGTCGTTGATGCATCAGAAAGTCGTACATTGATAATTATCATTTTTTAAACAAAAAAAAGTGTCAAAACAAAGGAAATCTGGAGCCACAGAATTTTTGTATGTGATTCAAGTCGTATATACCATACTCATTTGCACTCTTTTTCGAGGGGGGTGCTCGGGTAAGCGCCCACCCCTACAAAATCGTGATTTTCTGAGTTGAGGCCCCTGGGCGCTAACGCGGTCGAGTACGGTACATTCACACACATTTTTATATTTTCCTGAAGTCCAGAATAATTTGGGCAAGAAAGTCTGGTGGTGAAAAGGTTAAATGACACTCTGATTACAAAATAAGTAATTTTTTAATGATTCACTATAAACAAATGCAATTTTTGGTTTATATGCATTCATATAGTCAACATGGTCTCATAAACAGTTGACCAGAGTGGAAATTCTGTTGTGTTTTGAACACCAGGAAGTGTTAAAAATCTAGCCTGTGTGAAAGTGCACAAGCCTCAATGGGGAAGCCAATGACCACGATTTCTTCACTGATTAATGCAACTTTGAGAAAACATTGGTTAAAGTCTATAGGTGTTTTACATTGTTGCATATTATGGTGGTTTTGGTGATAATAAAGTAAATTGAAATTTCAAAATAAGGCTCATGCACCCTAAAATATCTGAGCAATTTGACACCAAGTTTTCAAGAAAAGTCAAAAATAGACCATAAATACATTTTAAAATATTTGTTTAAAAAACAAATTAGAGCTATTTCATCACCCAAAGGCATTTGCAACAATGCAAAGCAATCTCTATAATCGAACAAAACTCCAGGAAAAATTTAAAACTACAGATGCTGACATAAAATGAATGAAACAGAATTAGATTATCCCAATGTATCAATTATTATTAGCCTTTGAGTGCTTTACTTGTTTTTATGTCTAATTTGATAATTTTTTACCAAATTTACTCAATTTCCTTTTGGCTATGAGTCTTGATCAAAATGTTTGAAAAATTATGTGATGGCAGTCGTCGCGCCGCGTCCTGTTCGATATGGGACTCATAGCGACGTATACAACGCGTGTAAAATACATTGTTTATTTACATGAAATTCGAACACGTGCTGCGCGACGACCACCATGCTTTAACTTTGGCGTGCAAAGGGTTAAATATCAAAGCTGAAAATTGCTTTCCCTGTTTGATATTCATTTATTAACCCTTTGTTTTAATCACCAAGATTAACTTTTGTCACAATTCATAAATTAAAACTCACATAATTTTTTCAACATTTTTTCCAAAACTTTGATCAAGGCATTAATTAAACTCAAAGGAAATAATGTTCATTTGGTCGAGACAAAAAAAAAAAATACATACAAAAATGTTGCATCAAAATCTGGGTGGAATAAAATACGGAGCTCAAAGGGGTAATGAATGATGTGACTATTTGTGGAAACTGTAGATGTAGATGTTGGAATTGCATATTGAATGCCGTTATGATGCGAAGATGATGACACATCCCTGGTGTATGGTTTCAAGGAGTAAAATGCAGTGTATGCCTATTTTCTCCTGTCATTACATCCACTTTTACAAATACCAAAGAAAGTCAGAGAAAAAGGAGTGGATACAATGAGAAAAAACAAGTCTCATGACTCTTGTTCTCAAGGAGATCTCGGCCACAATTCATCCAATATCATATACCTGGTTTTGTAACACTATGGGAAGTGCACCCTCACATCAGGGCAATAATTTCCTGTATCAAGCCAGATTTTCATCAATCAAAACATAACACGTCATTCTAAATTGTGTTATGTGTTTAAGGTCACGTCATGGTGAATTTGTAATAACACCTATAAGGTGCTTCCGCATGACTTCAGGCATATCCCTTTATATCAACATTTTGTACTAATCTGGGTTATGTGTTTAAGGTCACGGCATTGTGAAATTGACCTAAGGTTTCAAAAGCTGTATTCAGCTCAAAAAGATTAATGTCTTTTACTTATAATTATATTTGTATTTAGTTATAATTATATTTATATCTTTTTGATTGACAGGGCAAATCGAAGAAGAAAACTCACTTTTCACCTACTCAGAGGGATCGTCCTACACTGATCAACGACATGATGACTTTATACCAGTGTTCTTGAACACCATTGAGGACCTATTCATTGGACAAGACAGTCTACTCAATGATTCCATACTTCTCTGTGCTGACAATGTACAATGTTTGTATGATATTGGTATCACTGGGGATGTCAGTATTGGGGAAGTTACATTACATGCAGAACATACTTACCATATTGAGAAAGAAACTAGAGGTAACAATTGACCATTTCACTCTTATATCTGCACCCTCATCTCATTTTACAACATCCATGCAGACAAAATTTCACAATTATCATTGTGACTATCATGAAGATACTAATGAAATGGTCACTGTTAGAAAATTTCATGGTTTTCCCAGACGCATAAATTCACAAAAAATTGTCTTATTAAACTGCTATGTACCAATAGCCACCCTGGATTCCAACCATTCAGAGTGCCTGGTGAATTGCTATGTACATACATAGATGGCACACAGTTCTGTGTCATCACTGATTGGCTATCTCCATGGTTACCATGGGAACTCGCATGTGCAGACTGACCCGTTCAAACTGATTCACGAATCTATTATTTGTAGATTTTTCAAAATCCCACCATAATAGACAGCATCAACTAATGGCATACTAAAAAACTGAAAATATTTTGACTGTGTGACCTGAATAATTACTGAATAATCCCAACATACATGTTTACAACCATTACTGTACAACTCTACATGTATATTTTTTTACTTTTACTTTATCAAAATGTTGAGATATGATGGAATGTTTTCACCATAGGAACCAATTGTAACTTACTCAAACCAATTGTAACCTACTCAGACAAATTGTAACCTACTCAGACAAATTGTAACCTACTCAGACAAATCGTAATCTACTCAAACCAATTGTAACATACTGAAAACATGGATTTTTGATAAATATTTAAATATTCGTTTTGTGAAAAACTTATTGCGGTGACCAAATACTTTTATTTCAAAACATTATAGTAACTCAACCCTTCTTGCTGGATTCCAAGGATTTCTGAGTATGTCTTTCAATGATAGCGAACTACCGTAAAACCCAAAAATATCAAGACTACCTGTAAAAATGACATGATATCACACGAATTGATGTGTAATAATATGAGGTTATTACGATGATTCTGCAAAATATGCACAAAGACAGTACAGCGAGAGTATCGACCTACATGTACGTGCAGTGGAGGTCGATGCGTGGCGTACTGTCAGTTCATACTTATTTAGCGAACTCCTTTGTGCGTTGTTCTGACAAATCCTGGGGGCAACCATGTTTCTATTCCTTATTAGAGATGCTTACGCATGTAATCGTTCCATATTTGGAATTCACATTTCCTAATATGGTAGGATGAAAATACCCTGTAAAATACCACAAAATTTTAGTACGCTGTAACTTACAGTGACAGATGTATAAGAATTTCTAATTATTTTTTGTCAATAGAAAACTATCCTCCAGTGTTCATTGAGACGATGCCATGGCATTTAATATTTACAGCAAATGAATTATTTACACTTGACCTAGAAGCCTTTGACCCCAATGAAGACGATATAACATATTCTATCATCAGTGATACAGTACCTATATCTACACTAGGTATGTAACAATCTTTGCAATTGATTTAATGACTGTTTTTCGTCTTTTTCCTGTACATGTACATCCTTCAAACATCAAATGAACGCTCTGATTCAGTATCTGCGACAGCTGAATTTGAACATGCAAAGATTCTTGTATTCTTAATTCAGATTCCGCCACAGGTGAATTTGAATATGCAAACATTCTTGTATTCTTAATTCAGATTCCGCCACAGGTTAATTTGAATATACAAACAAACTTGTATTCGTAATTCAGATTCTGCCACAGGTGAATTTGAATATACAAACAAACTTGTATTCGTAATTCAGATTCTGCCACAGGTGAATTTGAATATACAAACAAACTTGTATTCGTAATTCAGATTCCGCCACAGGTGAATTTGAATATGCAAACATTCTTGTATTCGTAATTCAGATTCCGCCACAGGTGAATTTGAATATGCAAACATTCTTGTATTCTTAATTCAGATTCCGCCACAGGTTAATTTGAATATACAAACAAACTTGTATTCGTAATTCAGATTCTACCACAGGTGAATCTGAATATACAAACAAACTTGTATTCGTAATTCAGATTCTGCCACAGGTGAATTTGAATATACAAACAAACTTGTATTCGTAATTCAGATTCCGCCACAGGTGAATTTGAATATGCAAACATTCTTGTATTCTTAATTCAGATTCCGCCTCAGGTGAAGTTGAATATGCAAACATTCTTGTATTCTTAATTCAAATTCCGCCACAGGTGAATTTGAATATGCAGCATGCAGCAGAGGTCGATGCGACTGTGTACTGTCTGAGTGCATACATTGCAGTATCCTTATTATTATAGCCTTATTATTGTACATCTTTCCCTCCTAGAAATACATCATAGGAATGTCGAAATCCAAAACATTTAAAACATATTTAGTGAACTTCTTGTCAAACCCTCTTGGCAGCCATGTTTTTTTTTATTAGAGGACACTTACGCTTGTAATCATTCCATATTTGGAATTCATGTTTCCTAATGTGGTAGGATAAAAATACCCTGTAAAATTGCAGCACGCCGTAACTTAAGGCGTTACAGTGACAGATGTACATGCTATCAATGCTAGTAATCAGTGGAATATGACTGAATTTATTTACAAATGACTCACACATGATAACATGTATGTACATTGCTTGTTTTCAAAAAAAAAAAAAAGTCAAGTCTTATTTTGAACAGTAAAGTATGTACACATTCTTTTTAGGGAAAGTTTAGCAACTTCTTCAAAAAATTCCTAAAACATTCAAGTGGTGGCACAGGATGGGGGAAGAGGGGGTGATCGTCCCCTCAAAAAAAGTGTTGGTGTGGCGTCACCCCTCGAAAAATCAAGCTGAAACCCTTTGTGTCAGCAAAATTTGACCCTCAAAAAGCAGGAAATAGCATTTCAGAGGGTCTATATTTCAAAATTTTTAAGGGGGGAGTATGCCCCGGACCCCCTAGTAAAGTCTTGTCTCGGCGCAAGGTTGGTGAGTAGACCCCCCCCCCCCCCCATGCAAAATTTGTTGTGCCGCCGCCTCTGCATTCTGTGTTACTAACTTCATTATTTCTTTTCTTATTAGCTGGTAATATCTTCAGTTGGACTCCACATGCTGTGTCTGATTCAATGTCATTATACTTTACTGCTAGTGATGTGAAGGGTGCTGTCACTACATACAAACCTGAGATATGGCTATGTGACTGTAGCAATAATGCCACATGTTCTTATAGTAGAATAAATGAAGTCACTTATCAAGAATCCAATCCTGGTAAATATACTATGCTTTGGTGCTTAGATCATCTTTGGACAATTTCTTTTCTTTTCATATCTGCATCTCTTTCCTGATATTGAAGTACCCTGGTAATCCAGACACTACAGCTGCTTATGATGATGTAGTCCATGAATTCTAAGCTACCAATAGTGTGCATGAATTTCATGACAAACTTTGATTTCCATTGTTTTATTCCTGGTTGGATGTGAACCACATGACCCAGATTAGTACACTTGAAAAATGGTGATATAAAGTGATATAGCCCATTATTATTTTTGTTTATTGTAAAGATGATTTCTATGTTGCTTATTGTGTCTGTAACAGTGGGTGGACAGGAAGACATTGTCAGATATCATGTTTGTTATGTTGTCTTCCACAGATGGTTGCTATGTGGCTGACTGTGTCTGTAGCAGTGGGTGGACAGGAAGACATTGTCAGATATCATGTTTGTTATGTTGTCTTCCACAGATGGTTGCTATGTGGCTGACTGTGTCTGTAGCAGTGGCTGGACAGGAAGACATTGTCAGATATCATGTTTGTTATGTTGTCTTCCACAGATGGTTGCTATGTGGCTGACTGTGTCTGTAGCAGTGGGTGGACAGGAAGACATTGTCAGATATAATGTTTGTTATGTTGTCTTCCACAGATGGTTGCTATGTGGCTGACTGTGTCTGTAGCAGTGGGTGGACAGGAAGACATTGTCAGATATCATGTTTGTTCTCTTGTCTTCCACAGATGGTTGCTATGTGGCTGACTGTGTCTGTAGCAGTGGCTGGACAGGAAGACATTGTCAGGAAGAAAAAGATGGATGTGAAAGCAATCCATGTTATCCAGGTGTTAACTGTACAGACTTGCCAGCTGGGGATAATAGGGAATATATATGCGAGTCCTGTCCACATGGTATGGTAGGGGATGGTGAAAAATGCCATGGTAAGTTTAACACTCTGAAAGCCACAGACACTTTGCTCCATACATTATTGACAGCTTTCATCAGCATGGCCAATTTAGTAATGTTTTAACCCATTGCTGCCTTGCCATTGAATGCTGATGTGAAAATGTTGAATTGAGCCACATGTCAATTTTGAGTTCAGTTAAAACCTTTTTGGCTCTGAATGGGAAGTATTTCTCACTGATGTCTGCCTGTCAAATCTGGTTCGTCCAAAAATCACTGACTGAATTGTAATCTATCTAGGTACGCTGATATAAAGAGCTCAAGACCTGATCATTTTTTGATACAAATCTTTGTATATATTATTCTCAACTAATTCATCTCAGTTTCATTGGATTATTTAAAAGTTATAAAATTATACAAATTTTCATATGAAACCTGAATTTATTAATGAATGAATATAAAATTGGTTACATACATTACAGTTCTCGTGAAAGCTTTGGTTTTTGTGGCATCATTGTCGCCTACGCATGGCTTCATTGTCGCCTCAGCATCGCATCATTGTAGCATCAGCTTCGCGTCATTGAAAATTGAAGCTGTGTTCGCCTCGCTTATTCTGTGGCATCATCGTGGCCTCAGCTTCGCAGTCTCATGGCATCAACATGACATCAGCTTCAAAGTATTGCGACATGAGTATGACCTCATTATTTTCACACGGAAAGGCAGTAGAGAAAAACAGAAGTTTCGATATGTAATCGATTTGAAATTCAAGGCGGTAAGGGGAATAAAATAATATGACCAAGAGTAAAATGACATTTTAAAAAGATATCTTGTTTAATTATTTAATGTTGCGAGTATTGGGTACCAAAAACTTTGTGAAGTACATTGCAATCTGCAAGGTGACGAGTGTCATATTGACTGCAAGGAAAATCGTGATAAATTTAAATCACACGATGCAATCTTCGTTCGGATACAACGCAATTTGCTATACGAAATGAAACTGTTCTTGTTATAAAATTACCTTATTTTCGTTCATTTTATTTGCTGGTAAGAGAACAGATTCAGATTCCTCATTTCGGTGGTATTTTTCTGTGTTTCGCCGTTTAGTTTCGCCATGCCCGGACTACTAATACATGCAAAACACACATGCGTCGGCGTTGTCGCCTGCCATCTTGATACAAAGTTCCAAAACAAGTGCGTACATTTCTAACTATGATTGGATGGTTTTGGTGGAGTCAGTCTGGTAAAATTTTACATTCAATTTTCAAAATTAAGTCACGATCAGTGACCTAAGCTCGACCTATACGTACTTTAAAAGTATTCTCACAAAAAATATTTTCGAATAAAAACGAGCCACATGCCCTGTAAAAAATTGAATAGCACTTGACATGCAGAATTAATTTATTGGGCTTCAGAAAAAAACATGTCCAGTGGTGCCCAGTCGATGAACAATTTGAAACTTGTGATACACACGGAAGTCATTCGATACTGAATACATGTATCATCGACCCCAATCTGGTTTACCTTATTTCCCAACTTGCAAAACTGATTTGTATCTCAGCCCAGTCAAATCCCGGCCGTTTGTCAAAATATACCGATGTTTTTTAGTGAATAATTGTGAAGCCTGTCACAGCACAAACAAACTATGTGAATCGACGCAGGAGATTGGATGGTATGACGACCCTTAAATTAGCGTCAAATATGCTTTGTTACAACATCATTGATTGGCCGGGAGTCACCTGATCGGAGCACACAACCTGGGTCACAGAACCATATTTGTCCGTATTATCAACGGGACTTTGCGAGAGAACCACACCCACACTTTCAACCATCTTTAGCGCGGAAGTGGCCAACAAATGTCGAAAAACTCGTGAATTTTATGGATTTGAATAAAATAAAGCTAGCGATTGGTAAGACTGGTTAATAATATATCCCCCGATGCTCTTCGATTTTTTTAAATTTTATTTTAAGGTCAGAAATGGATAATTGAATTTCCATCGATTTCAAGGCGACTGTTTCACCGCGACAATTCTATGCCGTGTTGTAGTTTTGCGAGGTAAAACAAAAATATAATAAATAGTACTTGTTTAATTATTTGGTTTTA